AAGCTGCCGCCTGATTCAATAAGCTAAGTGTTGTGCAGTCCTGTAGCTATTGATTACAAACAGCTGGCATACGGTCCAGCCGTCCAGGCTCTGCGGGCTCTGCGGTCCAATTGAGATCAGTGGGACCACTGGGCTCCCTACGTGCCCCTCAGATGGAAAACAATCGTAATAATTTTGTCACTCGGCCACCTAAATTATTGTTCTGTGTCGAAGAGCTGCGAAGTGCAGGCAGCAATGGATAACCACGTCGGTTGAGGTAGGCGCAAACAAGAAGAGATAGAAAATAAAACAAAAAGAAAGAAAGATAGCGGGGCGTTGGTGCGAGTTAAACGCCTCCCGTCGGTGTCGACGAAGGTCCCCAGCGATTCATCGCCGCAAACGACAAGCATACGTTGTCGTCAATAAAGTCAGCGTGCCCATTACTCGCGTTACATTTTCTTTTTTGAGCGTTCTCCGCCGGCGGTAAAAATACAGTCAATCTAGCGAGATGCCGTCGGGTGCAATCGCGGCGATTCCGGCAAACACGCTGCCGTTCTCCCGGCTAATTGGTACGGTACCGGTGTCTAAGGACGGATGTTTAGAGTGTCTGATGGCGCTGGGAAGACGTCGATTAGGCGTATGCGCCCTATTCTCTAACTCGGCCGAAAAGCCGTGCTGTTCGCTAGGCCTTACCGGGGAATCCGAGCCTCGCTAACAGTCCGCCATGTTGCTTTTGGGAGTAGTCAAGTTTGACTACCTGCTTTTTGACTACGTGTGGAGTCGTCATTTTTACCCTAGGGGTCGTTATATTTGGGACAACTTTTTACCACACCAAAGGTAGTCACATATGACTACCTTTTTTTTTTAGAGTGTAGCATGCACCAGTCTTCAATGGAACCGCCAAGGGTTGGGCCTGGTAGGCCCGTCCGGGTGCAGGTAGGTTTAAAAGACGGTGACACTAGAACAGAGATGAGGTTTTAGACGGAGGCCCGGGTGAGAGGTCGTACACGGTGCAAGGAGAAGGACGCACCTACAGGCGCAACCGGTACCACATAAAAAAAGAACATGCAAAAGCAGAAACGGATACAGCTGCTGAAAACTATTTCCCTACAGTCTCAAATGAAGCTGCTGAAGACTATGTCCCTACAGTCTCAAACGAAGAATCACTTGAAAACGTTTCCACGTTTACAAGGTCTCAGGTCCTTCCGTCAACAGGATAACCAAAGAACAACAAGAAGTGGAGGCGTTGTGGTGAAGCCGCTACGATACAGAGATTGACAAGTGCCGCACTCGCACTGCGTTATATTAAAAAAAATATAAAAAAAGAAGAAGGGGGCATGTAATTATGTCATGAGGCTCTCTGATCTTAGAAGAAGAGGACATCCAGTGAGCACGCTCGCAGGAGGTGGCACACGCCGTTGCGTTTGGAACTGACGAGCAATCGCCATAGTTGCTGCTTTGATCCCGTATGTTACTTATTAAATAGTTTGCTTAAACCATTCTCCTGAGCTTAACTAGCAAAATAACACCGGTGACAAAGGTGATGTACGCGGGCAGGCGCTTTTGACGAAACGACGCAAGGTGTGTCAATGAAACGATCGCTAAACCCTTTCGATTAAAGGAAGTGTTGATGGAACGTCGTAGTATACGAAACAATCTGTCGATAAGACGTCGTTCCACGAACTAATAGCCGGCCACCGCTCAGCAGGCCCGTTTAAAGCACAGAACTCGCACTTTTAGCTTTTGCTGTACTCAAATGCACTCAATTTTCCAGCAAAACGTCGACCTATCATCACTACAGTGAAGTTGGTGTAGTTTGTGTATGAATGTGACTATGCGCCGAAGGAGTGAGAAAGATGAGGACACAAGAGCGCGCGGGGGCATCTGAACGCCAAGCTCTGGTTCGAATACCTAGTGGGTAGACCTAAAACTAGCTGCCGTTGTTTGCACTGCACTCATTGAACGCGCTCAAGTGCGAGACCAAAACACCAGACACCTGCGTTCCGTGTCCTAACGCGTTCGCCGAGTGCAGTGGACACAAAGGCTGCTAGCTTTAATTCTACCCACTAACCGCTCCTCACAGAGCTCGGTGTTGAACCTCCCCGATCGCTTTCGCCCTTCTTTCCTCCTCTCCCGCACTTTCTTGGCGCACATCTGCCTCGCCTTCTTTTCTCAAAGGGGGCTGCAGGAAGAGGCACAAGCGCCAGCGACTAATCTTGGCAGAGGCTGGTGGTACACGACAGAAACAACCATGTCATAGCGGCAACCGCGGCCACGAAATCAAGGAGTTGAAGGGCCGGCTGGTATTTGTGAGCGACCACTCACATATGGAAAATACTATGAATACGACTCTCGTTGACTCGTGCTTGCTCTTACTCTGTATCGATTGGATTGGCTGCCCGCAGTGCATAAAACGCGCGATGCTGGGGTTTCCTAGTAAATCTGCGCTGTTGGTTCATTGCAGTGAACCAAAGCGACAAATCAGCGTGGGTTCGGAACTGCCCAGCATACCAAACCCATATTTTTTGTGGGATTCCTGTCATACTTTATCTTGAAATGTTTGTGCAGGGTCGTACGAAGGATGGTGCTAAATAGAAATCAGAATGGTTTGAGTTGTGACTTTAAGCAGAATTTATATCGTAATTTGGAGTACTCCAATTTCACTGTCATGATTTAAATTATACTTCTTGAAAATAATATCACACAAATATAGTTTTCGTTATCTTTTGCTTGTGACACAATGCTTTTCATGCGAATTTATTTTGTATTTAATTAAAGTAATGCCCAAAAAAGAAAAGCAGGGGCGTACGTTCCCCTGCTTTTGAGCGCGCCGCGCGCCTCGAACGCGCGGCGCCGCTCTTCGCAGAATTCATTCACGTGAGGAGCAGACTCCACATGCCGTGCAGGAAAGCCGGCGTTCCGAGGGTGAACGCGCAACTCTGGCTACCGTAGGGAGCCTATAGACGCTTTCAGCACGCGCCAGATTGAGCCGTTATAGCCGACCTTCACTTGTCTTACCAAGGTGCCGAGCCAATGAAGCGGGCTTGGACGAGCCTCCAAAAAGGCCTGTGCTGAGGGCAATACGGTAACACTTGAAATGGCAATAACCTGTCCTCCTGTGGTAATGATGAAGTGAAGCGAACGGAATAAGAGGGAACGAAAACTGAAGGTCGGTTGTGGCGGCGTCCATGCACAGCTGCCTGAAAGCGTTTATAAAGGAACTCTAGTAGTTCGCGCTAAAGGGGCTTTAGTTCGCGCTGCACAAGGGCGCTGCCTGGCCGTGCTTGCTTCGTTATCGGGGACTTGTTTCACCAATACTATTTTGAATCAAGATGCCCGTTTCTAGAGAAGTGTTCCAGATGTTAAGAAAATATTTCTTTGCTATACCTTAATAAATAATGTAAATACTATATGGTAATAAATAAGGAAAACAACCGCTGGCGGTGTTACCTAGACGTTCGTGAGCGTGTAAGGTGAAGCATCGGACCTGGACATTCCGTATTGAGAAGCCGACAGGCATATAGTCTTAGCAGCCCATAAATGAGAATCGTTCTGAGCATGCGGAGTGAATCAGCGCGCTTATATATGGTACTCGATAAATACACCCCTTGGTTGAACTGTTTGCGTGGAACCAGCTGATGGTAGCAACAAGCATTACCCACCTTGCTCAATTCCTGACCGTCGTTATGGTCGGATAAGAACTTACAAGGTGTTTCGCCTCCAGCGAGAGCTTTATGCCTTTGTTAGTTCTTCTGGCTCGTTCACACTCGCGGATTCGCAGGCGAATACGCAGGGAAATTGATGCCGGAAGGAGGAATCTCCTCGCTGGTGACAGAATATTCAACCGCGGGAGCAATCGTTCCGGGACCGAATTTTCCCTCTTGAACTTTCCACGCCGTCGCAGCCAGTCGGAACGCACGGAGGAAATGGCGCTTGCTGACCTCACATCCTGGCCGAGTTGTCCGAGGTGTTGGGGCTGGCACCGGAGTTGTCGGAGTTCCGGGGTTGTGCACATAGCGCCATCTTAGTGGTATCGTTGTGTCAGCAGAAATGCTGACCGACACTCAATTATTCGACCCTGTTTGACAAGAGTCATGTGAGCAACGAAGACAGTGCCCACAAAGAAGATACGTGAAATAAAATTGGCGTGAGGGGCACGTACACACGTTGTCTTCGTTTGATCGTTGTTTTCTTATTACCTTCTCGTATCGCCGACAGAATATTGGGCACTTTTCGGGCACTGCGGTTCAGCCTTAACTTCAAGAGGAAGTCTGGGAGAGCATTTCATCAAAACTCACTCGAGCCAGGACCAGTCTGCTCTGATATCTGCAAAAGACCGGAGCCGTGCGAACGCGACGGGTTGCAACAAATGTTAACGGCGCCGTCTTTTCCGCCCAGTAAATTCGGTCGGCGATAGACTTTTTCGCAAATGGGAACGCGGCCTTCGTTAGTCGTGTATCCAAAGCCCGGCTGACGTCAACGACCGCGTTTGAACAACGTTATAATGACGTGGTACAATATGTTCAGTGCCCTCGCCGAAGAAGGTTGCCGTCTGGGATTTTAGTCATTCCGTCGCAAGCGGAACAAGACCGTCATTCGCCAGAGACGTTCTTTCCTTACCCCATCGAGACTTACTATCTTCCTTTGCGAAGATTCGAGCAGTTTTCATACTACACATTAGTAGTTAGCGGCGAGTTACGGTATTCATAACGCAAAGCTATCGCCGTCGGTTCTTCGCAGGCTCTGGCTAAAAGTTGCGAATTTTGTCCGCCACCGAAAAAAGCGGCGCGTTTGTGGTGAAAATAAGATTCTAAACCCGCGCCCCTAAATTTTAGAAAAATTTTAAATCCAAAAATACGAAACATTTATTAGAAACCACACACTGAAGTTGACATTATTTGGAAATACGTAAGATATATGATACATTTATTCATTTTCTAGGGGTTCTGCAAACATTTTATGTTTGATTTCATGAGGGAAAACATTTTTATCGTATAAAGGCACCAGAAGCAGTCCCATAATCAGTTCAGAGGTCTTATCTGGAATTTGCTCATTATTCGTTCAGTCAGCTCTAACGTAAGGTTATCGTTGTCCTTGTAGCAGACCATCATTTTCATCCAGTACTGCTTCCACATCGAAATCTTCACCATACCCGTAATGAACAACTTTCTCTCGGTCCTCGTCCATATGTCGGTCACCCCAGCCATTGCCTCCGCAATGCTCTTGTGCTCCAAGTTCGAGACCTTGGCCAACATGCCTGTCACGTACTGTCCAAACAGAGGGAACTGCGGACTGCTTTCTGCCGCATTCACTATGAGTTCTAAAAATCTTGTTTTCAACACAAAAGCTTCTCCTTCACAGTATGGCGGAAACACATCGTCTTTGAGGAGCCCAGGGGGGAGGTAGAACTGCTCGTCGGCTGGGTCTCTTCGTACTCTCACCAAATGCTGATCGCTACAGTGAAAGCCGTTGTCCTCTTGGCTAAGATTGGCGATGTACCTGTGGAGACCCACCAGATCGGGGAACGTTGTATCGTTAATGTGAATAACGTACCGTGCGCTGCAGTGTTGGTAAAGCCACGTGGCCATTTCCAGAAAGATTTGTACGGCATTCAGAGAGCTATGTGGCGTGGGGACCACAATAATGTCATCGTTCTTTATCTCTCTCCTCAGAACACGGGATGACTTGGGATCCTGCGTACAGCCTATGTAAAAGAAGATTCGCCAAGGGAGGGCAGTTCTTGTGGCCTCGTTTCCTATAGACTTCCGGATGGCTTGGCGCGTGCTGTAGTGGCCCGGTGCGGTCCTGATGGCCACGATCACTTCAACAGAGCTCTCGCACAGCTGGGTTGGGTAGTGCTGTTCCAACGGCCCGTCCGAAAAGCAGTGCAAGATCATTGCCATGGAACACAGGGACAGGATGATGACCACCACCAAGCCAACGGGGGACTGGCTGTGCCTCGATATTATCACTACAATACTGTGAGAAAAAAGACAATTAGGAATTATTAACAAAAAATAAACTGTTTTAAACGCATCACTTATGATGATTAAAACGTCCAGCGCAAATAGTCGCTGCAGAGGAGGGAAGACAAATAGAAAATGTTCAGTGACTGGAAGAAGCGGTAAAGCCCTGACCAGAGGTATTATGAAAGCGGAGATGATTGCGAGCCTAAAGGAATTTGCGTGAGCGCCCCGTCTGTTTCTTTGTCTGGTAAAGAGTTAGAATGCCTTGCGCGACGGCAGTATGCGTGAGGATAATGGTGCTGGAATTTGGGTGTGTGTTCTTGGGTGCATGTGTGCCTTTTCTTGTTTGGTCGCCATATATAGGTTTGCGCCTTGACGATTAAACTTCGGTTCTAAGTTCAGCGATTGCCTGTGTTCTTTCTTCTGTCCCGTCCATTTGAGCTGTTCGTTTAAATCATCATGCCTTATCAACATGTCGAAGCTCACATTTTGAATCAGTTATAAGCCAGTCTAGTGATTTTGTGCTTGTGGAACATTGCCAGGACGCATGTGTCACGTGAACACGGCGACGCGAAGCCATGCTGTTCGGTTTCGTTAGGGGACATCATTACATCACATGACACTGTGACGCAAAGTGACACCATAATGTGGCATTTTGACGTAACGTGACAGCATGTCATGTAGAATCATGAGGTAACGTCGTGTCACAATGTGACAGCATTTCATATTGTAGATTTCTCAAAATGTGCTCTTCAGTAACCTCCTTAGTGTGCCAGAAAATGGAGGAGCGCGAAGAGGCGGCCCTGTTGATGTACGCGTTTAAATCTAATTGGCCAACTTTAAAGCGATGCTTAAACGAAATTTTAAATATACCCGCCGTGTTTAGAGATAGGCTGAATATGCTCCACAATATCCGTGGATGACAATCGGACGTTGTAGCGATTCTGTTTAGGGATGTCTTTCATTCAGAGATGACACCACCTACATTGCGCCGATTGCACGTGTCCCTTGTTGTACAAAACCACGTGCCGCGTGGCGGCAATACATGATTCGGTCACCAAAAATATGATAAATAAATCGGCTCGAGGCGCTCGCCTCAGATGTGCCCCCGTCACCGTCGGGATCGGTTGCTTGTCCTGCCGTTCTCATCGGCAGGTTCTGGCCGGGAGCCGGCCGGCACCTTCCATGTAAGCACTCACCGATGTTATAGTCCCTTCTTACAGTGAGGTTCAAGGCGAGCGTAGGCAAGGCTTACAAAATACAAAACACGTTTGTATTTTCAGCCTGATGGCTGTATCTTTCGTTTTCAACAGTTTAATGTGGGAAGTGCACATGAGTAGCCAGCGGAGAGAACGTGCAACTTGGCGCAGTCATGGCACAGCCCGTCTCCGGACGAGCATAGCTGAGCAGCGAGGCTGACTTCGACAAGACGATTGCAATCAAGGGCATCTGGTAGCCGCCTTGTCTTTGCTCGTGCGTGCAAGTGCATGCAGTTAAAAGCTTGTGTAATGTAGTTTCAAAAGCAAACTGCATATACTTGCACGCATGGAGCACCAGTGAGGCTATAGCTATAGGCTAGTCACGCATTGTAATTACCTGTAAATGCTCTTAGACGGACATTACAAACGAGGCTTTAGCGACATCCACCGGGTGACAGTTACTAATCGATTAATTCGTTTTAAAATTATTTTTCCTGTCTTTTTCAACAAGAGGTTGGGGTGTACGATGTGATACTGCTCCTTTGTACACGCATGGACCAAGAAATAAGCGCCGAAATTTCATTGTAGTCTTCGTTTAATGAAAGATACAATTTTTCTCCGGTGATCGTGTGAGATATGTGCACCTAATGGCATGCAATTACATAAAATCATGGTGACAACATAAGGTCCGTTTGTGCATTTTTACCGAGCGGAAGTTTGCAGGCAAGACCCAATGAAGGCATGCTGGGGTAGCGTTACTTCCCAATTGCAGCGAGCCTCAAGTTAGCATCTCAAAAATATTTCACATAAAATTCATATTACCGCGTAGCTGACCCAGGAGGCACACGTTTTCTTACGTCTCGACAATTTGGGATTTCTCCTACCCATAGTCTAAAAGATAAGGAGGCCAACAAAACCGTGCCGAGCCAGGCGCTCTCCCTACGACCATGCCCTCTCGCTCAAGCCAACTGTCACACCGACGCCGCGATGGCCGCTCCTGTTTTCTCACCGCCCGCTCTTCCATTTGTTTCTGGAACAAGTTCCCAGATTAAACAATTATTTTTTTTAGCGTAACACGTGTCGACCTGTTTCCATTCGCGACATTTCTGGTGGAGGTGCGGGGTACCTCTAACCCCTTCCCCAAGTCGAAAAAGACGATGAGCACCCCGTACTCAAACGCCCTTCGGACACGACGGCTAGAAGGATGTCGACGACTGGACAGAGCATTGCGAACGAGTTGCCCATCACAATGGGTGAACACCGGAGCAATGCATGCATAACGTCTACTTCTCTCTAGAGGGAACGCACGTACCTCGTATGAAAACCACGAGGCGACGAGGCACTCTTGCGCTAGCCAGCCGACGCTGCGACGTTTGCTGTTGCTTTCTCGATGCCCGCTCGCCAGCAATCTGTTTCGTTTCTGGCACAAGTTCCCCGGTTAAACCTTCATTTTTAATTTTAGGCTTTTAGATTTGTTTCCATCCGGGACAATATATAGGATATCGGTATGTTGCCCATCTGTAACCATTGTTTTTGCGAATGGCGTGTGCAAAAGAAGAGACCTCGTTCGGGTGTATTGAAAGCATTAGCCTTGCTGGCCAATCAAATGTATTAATCAACTTTGGCTTTGAAGTTAAAGACTTTCTCGCGCTGTAGTGTGACTACTTCCGTCGAGATGTTCTGAACACTTCACTAAACGTTAACTAAGCGAAAACCGGAATGAATATTTCGCGATAACTGTGTCTTACTAGTGACACCGCGAAAAAAATAAAAAATAGAAAAACACGATTACGACATTGAGCATATTCATATTGCCCTGCTTGGGGGCCTGAAGGGGATACACAACATTTTGAATTTTAACAACTTGTGAGGCTTTCCGGTTACGTCATCGATCAATGCTGGTGGTCATCCCGGCTTGTTCTTACCGATAAAAAGGAAATTGGTGGTGGGAAATGTATGATGCAGGATTTTCTCCCTTGGCAGAAAGGCCGCCACAATGGCCGCTGAATTGTCAACGGAAGCGATATATTGAGTTATTCTAGCCAAACTTGTGGCGACTAACTTGAAATTCGCCTGTTGTGTTTGTCTCGTCGTTTCGGGATTTTTAACTGCGCAATTCGTTAGATTTTAATTCGAACAGATCTCTCATTTAAACGCCGAGAAAGGTACACTACTGCAGTATGGGAAGGTGTGTTATACGACCAGGTGGACATAGTATGGAGCGATCACCCTCGCGGTAAGTCAAATCTCTACTTAAATTTTGCGAATTCACTTTTTAATTATTGTAAATCAACATATGGTTCCCATCAAAACTGGCTGGGCGTTATTTCACAATTCTAGATCAGTCAATTTTTTTTTTAATTTTTCAAGCACGTGGCAAGCGCGGATGATGCGGTAAAGTCTCCGCTCGTGCAACAGGTGGTCAGATATCGCTGGCCTTGTGCTTGCAATTACCAACTTTTAGCTGGTTATTGGACTTGTGAAAATAAGCTACTATATTATGTACCCCTTGCCGTGTAAGAATAGCCTCCAGTAATCCTTCTCCAAAAAAACATTTGCCTTTCGGCTGCTTCGTAAATTTTGATTCCTTCGGTTAAATACTGTTAGGTCACCTGCATACTTTCGAATATTTCATTTTATCGCCGGAATTCCACAGACGTCACTTGGTCAGACATAATGGGAAAAAGGCCGCGAGAGAGTGTTACCACCGCGCAGGCAAGGCGCTTCTCGCTGCCGAAAAGAGGGGTGGACTGACGTCACGTGCTAGCCATGTATAGACCCTTTTAAGCAGATGTTCACGGGCATCGCCATAACCGGCCCGTTTTAGTTTATTTTATTTTGATCACTTCACTCCATTATTACCACAAAAGTACCGGTTATTTTCCTTTTATGTGGCTGCGTTTACATGACTGCAATAGTAGAGCGTCGATTTGTGTGAAAACCAATCACTATTGCCTAGTCTCTCTGTTTTTCCTCTTCGACCCAATCAAAATGTTCTTATTTCGATTCTATGCTCTACGGTCGCGTCTATGTATCTAAGGCTTACGTCCTTCTTTTCTGCATTGGCCTTTATGGAGGCTCGTCGAAGGCCTCTTCACTGGCTTGATATCTTGGTAGGAGAAGAGTAGGTCTGCAATGGCGGCTGTAATCTGGCGCGTGTTCAAAGCATCTAAATACGCCATTCCACGGAATCTTCGAGCGACTTCCTGTGGGCTACAGAAGCTTTAGATAAAAGAGCGCCACCTGTCGCATGAATCGAATTGCTGATGGCGTCCATTTAATGTTCCCACTAAATCAAGCACAGGAACTAAATCTGTTCAAAGCTGTTGCGGCACCAAGTCATGTGACGTCATTTTCCGAGCTGAATTGAGCTGGGAAACTGAATTGGTGGGCGAGGTGAAGTGACGTCAAGTTTTCCGCTAGATCTAGCGAAGAAACTGCGTTTTTTCATAGATGACCTGATACCAAGTCATGTGACGTCAATCTCCCCGCTAAATTTAGCGGGGAAATTAAATTGCTTTTGAAATCACATGACGTCCATTTTTCCCCCAACTTAATGCGGTTACGCCGCCGCCGCCGCCGCGAAACCCGGAAACAAGTGCCTAAGAGCTGCACTCTAAAAACAAAAGAACCTGCGAGCTCCAATGCGTTACGACCCACTTCTCGTTCCGCTGTACACCAATGACATGACAGACATATTATCGCGTTGGCCATGGAGGCGCCGTGCCTCCT